CTAGACATATATTTAGGCTTAATATTCATGTGGATATAGGTTATGAAATGCATATGGGCTATTTGAGTCGGTTGAGAGATCATCGACAAGAGAAATACGGGTGATGTCTCACTTTACGTTAGAGATAGCCTTCGTGTGAGCGATACGTGATGGTATTGACAAGTGATTTAGGTCACATGCAATTGATCAACAAGTTTAAGTATTTGATGGGTAGAGTGAAATGCGATTCCAGAATGAATTCTCTTAGGCTGCAGGTGATTACTTATCACTTTCTTTACTACTTTATTTAGTTTTCCTGCACTTTTTCCTTAAACCCCTTTTCCGATCTTAGAAGGTTTGAAACTGTTGAATGATAGTTTTTCCCTCTCACCAATCTCTATGGACACAATATGATATAACCTATATCACCCAGTAAATTAATAACTTACTTTTTACTTTCCGCTTTACCGCTTCCAGCAAAATGGCGATGTTGCTAGGGATTGATGTTGATATTAACTACATCGTGATAGTTTTTCTTTCTAAGTTTTGTAAATATGTCTATAATGTGTATTTGTACATTTTCTCTATACTTGTTTATTTTGTACATTTACGCGATTTATACATTTGTATATAGTATACTTATTTTATTTCACGTTTGCCAAAGTGTGGTTAGATGTGTAGTTCCGGTTAGTGCTTGAAAAGATTTGAGTGAAGGTGGGAGTGAAGCGTTTGGCTCGTCCAAAGCAATATGTTGTTTTGTAAATATCAGACGTCGAACTTACGACGTAACATAAGCATGTTTATCATTTTTTGTTTTGTTGTTACTTTTTCATTCTAGCTTAGATAGTGTGCTGAATATTCATTAAACAAGTTGTACTCGGATTGTTCATAAAATTCTCAAATTTTTACTTTACAACTTGTTTAATCAATTTTCACCAATTCTTTTAGTGTGTTTATATTTGTTGTTTTATGTTGTTGTTTTTCGTGGTTTTCCGCAAGCTTGTCATGTTTAGCTTGTGGAAGTGTATTTGTGTTGTAAATGTTGTTTACATGTGTAAATGAGGATAGTGAAGGTGATTGTGGAGGATGTTGCAGGACTGCATGTTGCTGTCCTAGTTTTTCTGCTACTGGTGTTGCGCGCTTAGTGCGCTCTCCTGAGTTGCGCCAGTGAATTCTTTTTATTTCACTTGGCTCTCATTTTTCCCACTTTCACCAAGGCTATTTATTAGTAATTAACAATAGTATTATTTTAACTAATTATTTTGTTATTGTTTGGACTCAAATTTTGGTTCGATGGCTTGAGGTCGCTTTTGGTGATTTTTTGATTTTGAGTGTGTCAACTTGCGGATGTATGGTAATGATAGTTTATGAAGTTGGTACTTGCCAGGTACTCGTTTATCGCTTTCTATAACATAATATGTTTAGGAAACTTTTCATTTGTACAATTACCATGTCATTCATTCTTTTTATATTACTTACTCATGACTTGAATCACTTTAGTTCCCTTTTTACCCATAAATGTGAGGAAGCTTTCCATTGTTCGCATATGTTGGAGGCTACAATTCTTGTTTTAACTGGATTTTATTATGTTTAATCTTTTGTTTGTGTTCATTGCATGGAAGAATGAACATGATCAAGGAATTTTTTGTTTGATTTTAAGCACAACTACCTTGGCCAAATAGTCAATTCACCTTGTGAGTGTGTGATCATTAGTAACCCCTTTTGACTTTTTGTCGATGTCCATGTTGTTTTTGCTAAATGCTTGTCTATGAGTGTTTAGTTTATCTTATTGTATGAACATTTATTCTTTGTTTTCTTGAACCCTCAACTATGATTTATGGTTTGAATTTTTACCTTGTCTTAGAAAGTAGAGAGTTTTCACATTGTGATATGGTTGAATTCAAGTTGGGAAAAGAAATGTTTATGTTCTTGTATGTATTACTATGAGGTTGAGAAATAAAGATAAAAAGAAATATAAAAAAAGCGAAAAAGAAAGAAAAGAAGAAAAAAAAGAGAAAAGTTTTGAAAAACAAAAAGAGTTTGAATAATATTGTGATGATAAGTGATGTGTGTTGGTTTGAAATTTGGAATGAAGAAGAAGTTTGATTGAAATTATTTTTCTTGAGTCTTTGCGAGTTGATCACTCCCTTAGGTTAAGGAAAATTTTTGTTTGGATTAGCTTTGGGACTTATCCCTTGTTTGTTAAGCAAGCCACATTACAACCTTAAAAATCCCTTGTGATTCTTGCATTTGTATCTTCAATATGAGTTTTTGGATGAATGCATAATTTAGTCCATTGTTTGCAAAATTATGGATGAGCTTTTTTTGTCCTTCACCTTTGCTTGTTCTTCTCTACTGATAAATTTTTACTAGGTGTGATTCATGATTAAGCTTGCTATGTTTTAGAATATTTAGTTTGATTGTTGTACTTAAGATTCATTTCGTTTACATGTTGTCGTTGTAGGATTGTGGTAAGTATTTACCTTGCATGTGCGTTTTTGTTTGAGCCATACATTTGTTTTTCGTTGTAAAACTTGTAGATTCATGATATTTTGGTTGATTATTTTTTATTCTGTGAGTTGTTTGGCCTTGTTTGAGGATAAACAAGTTCAAGTTGGGGAGAGTTTGATAAGTGTAAATTATAGCTATTTTTGTATATATTTTTTGTTGCATTTATCGACTCTTTGTTGTTAATAATGATTAAATAAACCTGACTTTTGTGTAAATACGTTTAGTTTGTATTTATTTATGTTTTTGTGTCCATAGTGTACAGTTTGATGTTTTTCCATTCATTTTGTAGGTATTTGTTACATTTTGGAGTATTGAGGAATAAGGTTTCGAAGGAATGGCTCCGGATGCACGTTTTCGGAATAAAAGACCTAGTTTTGAGTAGTTCTACTTAGGGGACCGCGCTAAGCGTATCCTCTAGCGCGCTACGCGCAAATTTGGCAGATTTGATAGATTTGAAAGAAGTGATTTTTTGAGCCCACTTAGCACACAAGTCCCGCTAAGCACGGTTTATGGCAGTTTAGTGTTAAATAAACGCAGCCCGCTAAGTGCGGTCTACTGAGATCAGTTTTGTATAAATAGTTTAGAAACCGATTTTCTAGGTTTTTATCATCTCTTTCCCTCTTGGAGGAGCTCTGATCCAATTCTTTGTAGCTTAGAGGTTCAAGCAACATCATTGGATACTTCATCATGACAATTCGCTATGGATGGTCTCGTTTCGTGTTGACACCGCGAGAAGTTTCCTATTCATCTCCTTCTTCCATATGTATCATTCCTATGATGGGTGTTGTATATATATTTTTACTCTTATTGTATGTACATTTGTTGATCATGGGATTGTATGAAATCTCTTTTAAAAATATTATCGATGTTTATTCTTGATTTTTTCTTAATCGCGGAGTTTTGGTTTGTCGTAGACATATGCTTTCCAAATCTCTTTCTTGAATGAATGTCTATTAGGTCATAAACTCTAGACATAGATTTAGGCTTAATATTCATGTGGGTATGGATTATGAAATGCATCTGGGTTATTTGAGTCGGTTGAGAGATCATCAACGAGAGCAATACGGGTGATGTCTCACTTTGCGTTAGAGATAGCCTTAGTGTGAGTGATATGTGATGGTATTGACAAGTGATTTAGGTCACGTGCAATTGATCAACAAGTTTAAGTATTTGACGGGTAGAGTGAAATGTGATTCCATAATGAATTCTCTTAGGTTGCAGATGATTATTTATCGCTTTCTTTACTGGTTTATTTACTTTTCTTGCACTTTTTCCGCAAACCCCTTTTCCGAACTTAGAAGGATTGAAACTGTTGAACGATAATTTTTCCCTCTCACCAATCTCAATGGACACAATACAATATAATCTATATCACCCGGTAAATTAATAACTTACTTTTGCTTGCTGCATTACTGCTTCCAACAATATTCAAGACAACATTCGACTACACATAAAAAAACAACCATGCATAAAACAACAATATAATAAACAAATAAAACTACTAAACTCATCAACATAACTATGATATTATAACCATCAAGACAATATCAGTTGGTCCAAGCATCATCATAAGGATATCATTGTCGATTTTAACACGTTTCCAGGAATGAGTTTCTCCATTTTGGTTGAACACCGTAACAAGCCTATGAATTCTTCTTATTTGTTTACTGTTAGGAATGTCTTTGTCTAAGCAACAGATCAAACTCTCAAGCAAAGGTCCGAAGGTCTCCGTGTTCCAAAATCGGATCTTCATCGAAGGATTTGTTGGTGAAAAAATAAGTTGAGCATTTCTTTTGGTAATTAGAAACAATGAAAGCATTCTAGAATATATATTTAAGAGTGGAATGAGAAAATATATGGTAAATGGTGGAGATGAATGAGTGTATTTATAAAAAAAATCTAAAACAACTGAGTAGCCACACTAAATTACTACTCCTCTTTACAGGAACAATGCATGCGCCACACTGCATGATATGACAGAGGAGCATGCGCTATGTACTGTGTCACCTCCTCTCTATTTTAAGTGTATGCGCCACACATAATGACTACTCCTCTGTGTAACGAACTTTTTTCGTTTGCAATATAATTATTTTGATATATTTTGTGAAAGAGTAGTTATGTGGGATTTTTTTTTTAAATTGTGGTTGTTTAAAAAAAATCATAAAATAATATTAAATTATATAAAAAGTAATTTGGCACTTTTATATTTATTTATAGTCAAAAGAAAAGTTTAAATTTTCTTTAATATTTATATTGTGTTTTTATTTTTATATGATTTATTCATATTATTTGTCTTGGGATAAATAAATAAAATATTATAATTCTAAAGTTTATTTTGTGAATAATTAATACTTATTAATAAAGATTAATCTTTTAAAAATGAGCCTAGCGATACTTTAAAAAAAAAAAACTTTCTTTTAAATTACAATTCTAATTGTATGACTTTTTCATCTACTATAAATTCAGTGGTTGGGTTGTGGTTAGTATCCATTGAATTGTGAGAATCCAGCATGGAGCATGAATATCCTTTTATTCACAATGATCAAAATCCAATATCAAGTTCTGGTAAAAACAACATCAAAATGTCTATTTTTTTCATACTAATATCTCTAGATTTAAATACAAGGTTGAGTTATAGATAAAATTAAAAATACATGGTTGATACATAAGTTGATTTTGAGCCATTGTCAACCAAAACTCAATTTTTAATTTTTTTATCTATTTAATTTATTTCGATTTCTGTCACCGACTTATTTGTGATTTTATTCATTTTACTTACAAAGGTTTTATTAAAATTATCAAATTATTTCGAATATTTGTATATGGAAAGTAACGTGTATTTTTTTTATTATAGCTATTTATGTCTATATTCCATGAATGTTTTTTGTCAAATAATCTAGACGCATTTGCATCTGATATCTCTATGCATATTTTTATCAGCTATTAATTGAGTTGGTGCAGGTTCATCTATGTTGCAACAAACTAGCGACTCTACAGATGCTGCAGAAACAGCTACAAGAATGAACCCTAGAAAGCATGACATTGTGCCACAATTGACAATGGCAGAGAAAACTTCCTTGCCGTTAAAAAATGTGACAAAAATCATGAGAAAAGGTTTGCCACCATACATAAAAATCTCTGATGGAGCAAAGGAGATGGCTGAACAAAGTGCCTCAAAGTTCATTAGCATGGTAACAAAAAAAGCCACTGAGCGTTGCCTAAGGGAGTCAAGAAAAACTTTAGGTGCTGAAGATCTACTATGGGCCATGATGGCTTTAGGTTACCATAACTATTTTAGGGTTCTGAGCTTTTATCTCGAACGCTATCGTTATAGTAATGGGACTAGGCCCTTGCAACTTGCTTATGAGATTCCAAACTCCATCTTACCATCTTGTGAGATTTCTCAACAAGGTTTACCACCACCACCTCCACCTGTGATGAACCAAAACAGTTCTATTGAAATAGCCGAAGAAGTGAACATTGATGAGTTTTGGGATCAACTGAGTGATTTGGGTGATGGTTCCTTAGGTGCTGGTTCAGCAAACTCTGGTGGCATGTTTGATGAAGGCATCGATAAAATGAATGACTAGGGTGTTATCATGTTAGTGTTGAACTTTTTATTAGTTGTTATTGTTCTTTTATTGTGTTTAAGGGTGGGCGTAAATCCAATACCTTTGTTTATGCTTTACAATAATTGTTATAATAAAAATGATATTTGTGGGTTAATCTATTTTTATTGTTTTGTTTAGAATAATTTTAATCTTATGTATTTTGCCAAAATAACTTTAATTCTAATATCTTGTTCACATCAAGTTAATGATCTCAATGAATTAAAAATTTTATTTACATATAAAATGAATTAATATGTAATTTGTCATTTATATTTAATTTATTAAAGGAGGGGATTAGAATGTCTTAAAATGAATTTAATAAATTTAAAAAGAAAAAAATTACTTTGATTTCTACTTTAAAATATATTTATATATATATATGATGGAGTGTAACAAGCATTTAATGTGTATCTTTGACTCAAAAAAATCTTCAAGTAAAAACATTTTTCTCGTCGTCACGATGCTCCCGTTATGAGCGTTATGATATCATATCGCAGTCGCGATGCTTGCCAACGCGGTCGCAATGAAATACTTTTATGACACGCATCAACTGCGATTTAAAAGAGTTTTTTCTACTTTTTTTAGGGTGAGTATTAGGAGAGAAAGTGACGTTCATGAGCTTTTATGACAATTTTGGAGAGTATTGAAGTTTTTGGAGACTTATTTTCTATTGATTTCAATGAATACTTCTTATCAACTCATGATAGTTCTTAATTTTATCATGAGTAGCTAAGTTATTTAGATTAGGTCTTTTGAGATGAACCTAATTGTACTAACTTGGATCATACGATTGTTTCAGATTATTTGAATACTTTTATGTTATTATCATCATTTAATTGTTCTTATTCTTAAGGGTTAAATATGTTTTTGGTCCCTATAAATATCACAAATTTCATTTTTAGTCCTTATTAAAATAATAACATGTTTTAGTCCCTAAAAAATTATTATACACATAGTTTTAGTCCCTGTTGTCAAACCAATGTGTATTTTTGAATGATTATTTTTTAGATATGTTTAGAACGTTATAAAAAGTTCCTTGGAAAAAAAGAAATTCAAAATTTGATTTCTCAGTCGAGATTTTTATTATTTTTATCAATATCTTTTGAAATTTAAAAAAATCATATTTAATTCTTCTCATTTTAAAAAATTCTAAAATTTGATAAAGAAACAGTTTATAGTATTCTAAACACATATGAAAAATATTACTAAAAAATTTAAAAGTTTAAGGGTAATTAAACAGTTTTTAAAATTTTAGAAAATAGCAGGGACTAAATCTTGATGAACAAAAATTTTTAAAGACCAAAATTTGTCATTTTTTTAATAGGGATTAAAAATGAAATTTGAGATATTTATAAGGATCAAAAATATATTTAACCCTATTCTTAATGCTTTTTGTGTGTTGACGAACACACAAATTGATATTAGATAAGTAGAGATTATTGACTGTAAGTTTACCGATCTAAATTAGGGCAATTATTTGACTTAGTAATTAACTATGAATAGGTAATTATAAGTTGTGGCTTTTGAATTAATGAAGTTAGAAATGTCTAGTTTAACTCTGAATTGGCCCAAAGAATTAGGAAATTATTGTTTAAATTAGTGGGTTATACCCCAAGAAATTATATACAGTGGTCTTGCTAATTTGTCGTGAGACTATAGCGTAATTGTAATTCATTTAATACACAGTTCATCAACAGGTATAATTAGGGGATTCAAAATAAGAAATCTAATCGTTTTTTTCTATCAAACTTTACTCCAAAAAAATTCTCGTTCTTGTTTTCGTGCCAAATCATAATTGAAAATTCCCCCTTGTTATTTAATTTGATTTGGATTATCATTACCTTGTTTAAAATTGCAATCCACGTGGAGGCCGATTATTTTATTACTTCGACAAGATTAGTATACTTGCTAGTTTAGTCATCAAGTTTTTGACGCCGTTGTTGGGAATTGTTGATAATTTCAACAAGGCCATATTCGTGTGATGTTTTTAATTTTTAATTTTGAATTTTTATTTTATTTTTGTTATTAATTTTAGTTTAATTTTTTATTAAGTTTTTACTCATATTTTATTCGATTTGGTGCAATGCAACTAAGGTATGTGTGAGGATCATATTTGATACTGATATCAATAGACCCAAAAATTAAAAGAACATCACGAGAAATTCATAAAACGAAACGGGAAGTGTGCAAGTTATGAAGGACCAAAAGAAGAAAGAAAAGAGATAGAAATTCCACCATGAAAAATGTTGGGGACTATTGTTGTAGGACTGATGCTGGACATATATCTTTATGATTTCAACCGACTAACCTTGTATCATTTGATATTAAGAATTATGTAGTTTTTGAGTTTGAAGTATAATCCATTCGACGGGAAATCAATAAGAGATCCTTGGGAACATCTTGCTAAATTCTACGAGACGAGCTCAATGTGCAAACCACCAAATGATGTAACTGACGATCGGGTAAAATTACGTTTGTTTGGTTTTTCTTTAATAGGTCATGCTAAGGATTGCTTGCAATGCTTACCAAATGGTACTATTCATACCTTGAAAGAACTAGAGACAAATTTTTAGAGAATTATTACTCAAATTCTCAATTCGTAGAAAGAAAAGAAATCTCCAATTTTGATCAGGACGAGTCTGAGTCATTTTCTGATGCATGGGAGAGGTTCAAGTTGTTACTCCGTAAGTGTCTGAATCTGTTGGCTCCTGAATTCGACACCTACTATATTTGGTCTTTTAGACCAAAATTGGAATAAATAAAACCAAGCTGAAGAATCTTTCGACGTGTGAAATGACTTAGAGAAAAAAAATCTAAGTTATATTTGAGTCTTCGACCAGGACTCACTTTCAAGATTTCGACGGAGAAAGTATGATGACCTTCGACTAGAAGAAAATATCCTCGCATCGACAGTAAAAGGCAAGGGACATTTGAATTTGAATTATTGGAGGGAAAGACAGTTTCTCCAGTGGCTAAAGGAAAGAAACGTGGCTGGAAGCTAGAGGTCGAGGGACATGCAGAGGACACTTGTCCTCATCTTAGAACAGAACCACCCCTCGACGGTTACATAGTTTTAGTATAAATTAGGAAATATGTGTAGTTTTTCGGGGTGTTCAACCTATTATGCTAGTTACTCAAATATTGTCCAAGTACCCGCTGTGTGAGAAAGGATAAACTGAGAAATGTACGTTGGAAACACCTCTTTTCATTAATAAAAGTATTTTACATTGCTTTAATCTTATTCTGCAAAGTTACCTTTCTTGCATCTTTACCTGCATTTCTACATTTCTATTTACTTTCTTATTTTCCAAAACCTCAAGTATCTTGTCTCTGGTTGAACGTGCGTTCTTCCTAGATTTCTTTTCTTACTTACATCAACCCAGTATAAAAAATTAGCATATGTTCTAGGATCAATCTGATCGATCCCGCGAGTAACCAAAAGGACTTTCCTTTTTGGAGGATCAACGGTTGTTTACCAAAAACCACGGTAAACAAATTGGCACACCTGGTGGGACCTTGCTAATTTTTATTAAATATTTTGTTTATGTTATTGTGTTTCTTCTGTACAGTTATAACGTTGCATGTTATTAAGAAGTGGTAGAGTAACCAACGAGTTTACTGTTAGGAAGAAAAATAGCGAGAGTAGTATGGCTAACGAGCCAAATCATGGTGAAATACCTCCACCAATTACTGGAACAGTGGTTACTACCACCGTCGAATGGAATATCCCAACTTTCGTTGGATCAATACTGATGCTAACCACAAATCAAACAGAACCCTTACTTTCGTATTTAGGTCCAAGAGGGCCATTAAGAACGCCCCCACCAAGGGAAAATCCAGGATCTCGACCATTCGTGCCCCCAGGATTTTCGACAACCTGGATGGGTCGAGAACAGCCATATGGCATGCCAACCACTGAAATGGCTAGCCTTATGAACGTTGCTTCCACTTTTTCAGAACCTTTGGTGAATGCATCATCGCCATTACAGGGATTTGGAGCCAGTATGGCAAATTTGGGTAGAAACCAATTCTTAGGAGGGCCATCTCATACAATACCAAGCCTCACAAATACTTCGACGGCAATTTTGAGGCAACAAATGGACGAAAGTAATCATGATATGGTGCAAATGTTAGCACAAACTCTATGTAGAATGCTAAATCCCCTCATTCAAAATGCTACTCAATCGAACCAACAAATGACAGTGCAAATGACGCGCATGGCTGAATTCTTTGGGGTACCCCAAACTATTTGACAACCCCAGAGGATACCAATAAGAGCAAACCAAGGGGCAATCATGGAAGAGGATTTGACCGTTAATACAAACCCTCATATCCCTAGAGTAGAAATGGAACAACCGAGGGTCGAAATACCATGAAATCCCTCACCAATCCCTAGAGAAATCGATCAAGGAGTGATTATGGTAAAGAGAAACCAAAATGCTGATGAATTGATACAGCAAGTTCGACACCAAAATTACAGAACAAACAATAATTTAACTGCCATAATCGAAAGGATTATGATTCAAAACGGAATGAACATTGGTTTTCACAGACCAAACTTCACATCCCCATTGTCAAAATATATTCTGCAAACAGACTTACCCCCCAGGGGAAAGGTCCCCAAGTTTACCAAATTTTCAGGGGATACGACAGAGTCTACTATCGAACATGTAGCTAGATATTTGATAGAGGCCGGGGAAATAGAAAACAACGAAAACCTTAGGATCAAATATTTCCCAAGTTCCCTAACAAATAATGCTTTCACTTGGTTCACCACCCTCCCAGCCAATTCGATCCACAACTGGAACCAATTAGAAAGATTGTTCCATGAACAATTTTACATGGGACAGACCAAAATAAGTCTAAAAGAATTGGCTAGTGTGAAGAGAAGATTCACTGAGCCAATCGATGAGTATTTAAATAGGTTTCAATTACTTAAAGCCAGATGCTTTACCCAAGTTCCTGAACATGAATTGGTC